ATTTGCATGTTTGTCTTTTATTAGATTAGATTTTTATATCTCTCTCATATTCTCTCCTCTCCTTATGGCCTTTCCTGATGGCTACCCTTCACAAGGTTCTCTCTTCTTCCTGGTTATAGATAAAGTGATCCTATGATCATTTTCACTTTTGTACCATTTAAACTGCCCTTTCTGACTGTTTCTTTCAGAGAGGAAGGAAGGAGAGAGATAGAAACATCAATGATGAGAAAGAATCATTGATAGGCTGCCTCCTATATGCCCCCTACTGAGGATCAAGTCCATAACCCAGGCATGTGCCCTTGATTGGAATCGAACCTAGGACACTTTAGTTCTCAGGCTGACACTCTATCCACTGAGCCAAACCATCTAGGGATATTTCAATAAGCAAACTCTCTTCCCAACAACTTAGGAGTTTCCTGAGAACAAGGAATGTCTTGCTCTTTAAAAAAAAAAAATCTCCTGCAGAATATCTAAGATTGGTTGATACATATGATATGAATAAAACAGGTATTTAAAAGAATTAAATTCTTTTTTGCCTTCTTCTTAGCTTCTCATTCAACTATCCTGTTTAACAAAGGAAAATAAGACTGAGAAAGGCAGTGCTTTGCTGAAGTTTTCCAGCTAGTTAATGGCAAATCTGAGATTAAAATCAATTCTTTTATTCTTAATCCAATGGTCTTTCCAATATTCCATGTTTCCACAACATTAGGTATCAACAAAAATATTCTGTATCAGTTATTTTTAAATGGGCTGTTATGCTATTAGATCTTTCTTAGGCTTTGTAGATGGAAAAACTACCACCAATAACAACAAAGACTCTCAAAACTGTCTTGTGTGAATCCTATATAATAAAAGTGTAATATGCAAATCAACCGAATGGCTGAACAGCGGAACAACCATCCGGATGACCATCCGGGACCATGCTTGACACCCACTGGTGCCAGGCTAACCAAGGTGGGTGCAATGCTGGCCATCGCCCCATGATTACCCTGCAGAGGGAGGCCCAGGCCACTGACCGATGGGCTGCAGCGGGTGGGCAGGGCCTCCCACTGTAAGAGAAGCCCGGGTCCCGGATGCCAGAGGAGAGCTGGTGCCGGCAGCTGGGGGAAAGAAGGCCTACTCTTGCATGAATTTCGTGCATCAGCCCTCTAGTTATTAAATAACTAAAGGATAACATAAGTTCCCTTAAATTCAGTAAGACTGCCTCTTTAAATTCAACAAGACATATTTTGCAAAACAGTTTAAGTGGTCAACCTTGAAAAGTTATCAAGTTCTGTGGGAATAATTTTTATTTTGGTAGGAACATCATGATCAAAAGAAAATTACAACATTTCACAAATATAAACCTGACATATAAAAATGGTTTTAAATTAGCTCACTACCCTACCCTCAATCCAAATATAAACGAAAGAAAAGTGCTGTAAAACTATGAAATATATTTCTTAAATGGGTATAATTTATATTTGCAAAGTTGATAGTTCAAAAGCTAGGGGAAATTGCCTTGAAATTTGGGGAAAATGTATTAATCACCATTGGTATCATGAACTCACACAGTTAATGTATTTCTATGTGTTAAAAATTCTAAAATTATTATATTAACAACTGTTTTCTTATGTAGGTACATATGTATGTTGTGTTCTGTGTAACACATAATCATTCAGGCATGTGAATGGAAAATACCATTGCATTTAGGATAGTAAGTACTTACCTCTCTAAAAGTTGATGATATTCAGTCTGCTTTGTTTTGGTTTTAGAATATTTAGTGACATACTTTTTCACATTCTCTTTCATTTCAGTGTCAACATTTCTGAAACAAATGATCCAAGATTTGATTGATATGTCAGTATGTATTGCCAATTATCTTTCAACTTGTTTAAATATGTGAAAAAATCTTGAGGTTTTAATTTATAATAATTTGCTCTAAAATAATCTGCCTGTTTTTGAAAATATAGGGTTTCAAAAACTACCACAATTAAATATTAAACTTCATGAACATTTATACTATGAGTAACTTATATAAGAAAATGAATATTCAATATTTTAATCCTCTCTATTAATGCTGATCTCTCAGAGATGTGAATTTTTCAAGTTTAAAGAAAATGCAGAGATGACATTTATTTTTCCTGGGATATTTTATTCATATGTTGTGTATGTTCATATGTTTATTAATATATGCTAGGCAATCAATCCAAACCTAAAAATTGTTAAACTGAAAAATAGATAATGATGATCACAGAAAAACGATGTTTAATTGAAATATACATCTCTTCAGACTTCCAAGTTAGAAAATTATTTTGTGTATTTAAAAAATCTCTACATTCTATTAAATGAAAGAAATAGTGGTGAAATGTAGTTGTTCATTCATTCATTAAAATAGTAATCAAATATAATTAACCATTAATTTATTTATTAATTTTATTAAGCACTGATTTAGGGGCTATTGGGTTCCCTAAGCCATGTGGTGAATAAAGTGACTTAATAGTCAACTGATCAGGACACACTGTTCCATAGCCACTCCATAGCAGTGAGAACATATATGGACGAATAGTGTGTTATCCTGGGTTTCTAGCTCCTGGATGGAGTCATAAGCGGATAATCACAGAATGATAGGAGCTATGGGGGTGGAAAGCAAGGAAGTACATAGCTAACTCGGGGATGGGGAAGGAAGTGTGGAATTCAGAGTCAACATCTAACAATGAAGTACAAACTCGTTCTCAGAAGACCTTCATTATTAAGGCAGATGGAAGGTGTTGGGGAATGGAAGGGGTTTAAAAGTGGAAATTGGGGGAATGTTGATAAGAGATGCAGCTAGAGAAATGAGCAGGGATAGGTCATAAAGGACATAAAAGCTATACTAAGGAGCTTGAGTGAGTCCAGGGATTATAACTTACTCATTGAAATTATCTAACATATAAAATTTTACTTTATAAAATCAAATTGAGCCTTTCCTTTTACAATTCTTTAAAATATCACTTAAATTTTTTTTCTTTGTTTAACTTTGTTTATAGTTTTAAGAGATGAAATTCTCCTGTGACACAGAGATCACAATGGTCTTGATTTATATAAATCTGACAACCATCATCAAGACTATTTGCCAAGATTCTGTTACTAAGATAACCTTCAACTAAGTAATGAACAAGTGCTACTTGATCTTCCTTTGGCTTTGCAGATGGAGGAATCAACAAAAACAAGGACAAAAGCTCCTCAAATTGTCAAGAGTGAATTATTAAATAATAAAGGAGACCATGTGATTGAAGCAGAATTTGGTTAAAATGGATCTATATTTCATCTATACCCGGAGTTTGCTTTTAAAGACATGAAATAGCTCAACCCTCTTTCTTTTTATGAATAAGTTTCAGGATAATGCGAGCAATTTGCCCCGACATCTCATTTGCATTTATTTATTCTGACTTGGATATATTAAAAGTAGCACAGCAAGGCTTCCACCTTGCACAACTCTGGGGTGCCATTCACATCGAATACAATGAAAACAGTGGCCACTGGAGCTGGACAACACAGCCTCCCTGTAATGCCAGCCAAATCTCTTTCCATTGAATCTCTCTGTTACCAGGACTTACATACAGCTCTGGGGGGAAATGCTATTGATGATGCTGTAGAAAACTTTCTGAATCGGCCAAGATAAATTAAACATATTTAGTAGAGTTTTAGAGTCAAGTGTATGCTGGTGTATTTTAATTATTTGGGAATAATTAATTCATGCAGTGAACAAAGTGGACATTTGATTAACCAGGACACACTGGTCCATGAACAAGGACAGCAGAATTTCACAGACTCTCTCTAGAATAGCTGTCCAAGTGAACAAATCTCTCAAATTATGTTTGGGTTACCTTATTGAGTTATGCCTCTTAAACGTTAATGAGAAAAGACCACATCTGTATACAATTTTGAGCCACAGTTAAAGATATAGAATAAGAAAGAAAGAAATGTAGGAAGAGACAAAAATTATTTAACTTTGCATGCTAAAAAAAAAAAGTCATATCCTACTTTAAGGGCATTACCCTTACATTTTACATCGAGCAGAATGAGCTAATTATGAAATGTATGCGTCAAAGATTTCAATTTCAGGCTTGACTTTACTTTGAAGATTAATTTTTTACTTTATCATCTTTACAAGGCAGTTCAGTGGACAGCCGATCTGAATATTACTCATTGTTCAGCGATGTATGAAGTATATTTAATCAATGTGAAGAAAGTTATATTAAACTATTATCAGCAGTCTCAACTATTCTAAACATCTCAAAAGAAAGGTCAAGAGGTAATATCACTGCTAATCATATGAGAAACAATGTGTTTAACTCATTCTTTTTATCAGAGCTTTGTGCTGACCTATGATTCCTTTTGTCAGAAAATATAAAGAAAATATAGCAGGCGATTTTTCTTCAATGCTGGAGAAATATTGGCTATTTGAGAAAATTTTATTCAAATCTCATAACATCAACTAAAGTGCAGATCAATGCTTTTTTATGATGAACTTTTAAAATGTTATTCCAAGTCAAGGATATAAAATTATATAAAGTTATATTTTGAGAACTATATTTATTTGTTAAATATGCCAAAGCTATAAATGTAAACACTTGTATACAATGAATTTAATAAGGAATTGTAAAAATATATTTAAGCAATTTCAAATGAATTATTTCAAATTAATAAAACTAAAAAAATTGTTAATTCAAAATAGGTATTGATATAAAATTTTTTCCAGAACTATTCATTTCTAACTCATCATTTTATCCCATGCCTAGCCTAAATCAAGAGTTCAAATATTTCCTGACATAGAAACTAAATAAATCTGAACATCTATTTTCATCTCTAAATGTCAACATGGGAGCCCTTTTTAAAAATTAAACACAGAATTCTCTCAGAAAAACATCGGTAAGCAAGAAGACAAAAATCTGTAGAAATTAGAAAATGTACTTAATGAGAAAACCGAACAAGCTGTCCTTACTGCATTTTCCGCCCAGGTGATATGTCTGGACTCATTATAACAAGTGCTCTGTTTTTATTCTTGTCTCCATTCCGCAGAACTCTGAGTCTTACAGGCACATCCTGCTCCAGTGACTTACAGATGGGTTTCTTCATGGAAGGACTGTTTGGAATAAGCAGTCCTTCTATTGGCCAATCAAACTCCTTCAGAAAGAGAGGACAAAAAATTGATAATAAATAAGAGAGTTACTTTAAGTTATAAAGAAATGTAACACAATACTGATACTTGTAATCTTTTATTCAAGTCTAATTAGTGTTTTGTGTGAATAAATAGGAAGGATAGTAATTTTTTAAGTGTATGTCAAATCTATGTTGTGTTACAACAAGAAAGATTTATTCCCTTTCAGAGAAACATCGTTCTAGTAAAATAGAACTGAATTAACTTGGAATGTTTTTGTTCATGTGTGAAATATCTTTAATATGAGGAAAGTTAGAATGTGTGAAAAGTGGTTTTACAACCTGAAATAATATTATCTTAAACTAGACCTTTTTGGCAAAGAAGAATATATTTGGGGAACACTCCAAAAAACATAGCAAGATGATAAAACTTAAATTTCAGATGTTCCATTTGTAGAATTCAGTTAATTTGTATTTATTTATTCATATATACATTTATTTATTAATTCATGCATTATCCAAGTATTGTTTACTATAGTCCAGTGCTTAGACACTGGAAATAACATGGAGAGTACTATGCTGAGTGAAATAAGCCAGTCAGAAAAAAACAAGTATCACACGATCTCACTTATATGTGGAATCTAATGAACAAAATAAACTGATGAACAAATAGATCCAGAGACATAGAAGCATGGAAGAGACTGGAATCTCAGAGGAGGGGGAGTGAGAGGTGGAAAGGGATTAACCAAAGAACTTATATGCATGTACGCATAGCTCATGGACACAAACAATAGAGGGGTGAAGGCCTGGGGTGGGGTGGAGGTTGGGTGGAAGGGGAATGGGGGAAAATAGGGGACATCTGCAATAACATCAATAAAAAATAAACAAAATATTAACATTAAATAAACAACACTATGAACAAGATAGGATACTCTTCCCTGAGCAATTTCTAGTGGGTTCTCAGAAACTTGGCTAGAAATAAACTGATAGGGGACATCTGCAATAACATCAATAAAAAATAAACTTAAAATATTAACATTAAACAACACTATGAACAAGATAGGATACTCTTACCTGAGCAATTCCTAGTGGGTGCTCAGAAACTTAGCTAGAAATAAACTAGCAATTAAGTAGTGTAAGTATAATAGCAAGAGGGTATTATGAGGTGTGGTGGGACCACATGGAGAACCTAACTCAGAAACATCCTGTAACAGACCTGAAGCCTCAGCAGGAGTTAGTGCAGTAAAGGAGGGTAAGACGATGGGCAGTGTATGTATCAGGTTGAGGATTAACAGAACATGATGTTGGGGAAATAAAAGGAAGTAAGGATGGCTCCCAGGTTTGTAGCTTAGGCGACTGGGTATTCCCACTCACAGAAATGAGGAAAGGGATGATCAGAAGTGATGTTAGACAAGGTCCAAGTCTTTTCTTTCTCTTTTTTCTATCTGAATAAACAATTGTCCTGGCAGCAATTAAATCCCTATTAATCTGCTGTAACTATCTTGTAAAATATCACAATTCCATATAAGTATGGGTCTGTTTCTGTGTGTTTTACTCTCTTCAATTTGTCAGTTTATCTATCCCAGTACAGTACCATGCTGCCTTGATTATATTTGGTAAGTCTTGATATTTGGGAAGGCAAATACCCCCACCTTGTTAATCTTCTTTGGAAATTGGTTCTTATTGGCCTTTTGCTATTTCACGCACATTTAAGAATCAGTTTGGTTAGTCTTTAAAAGCCTGTTTGGGATATAAATACTTTGTTGCAGGTTAAGTAATTTCCTAAAGGGTTACAAATACCCAAAGAAGGGGCAAGTCATGCTGAGCAGGCAAAATACTCAGATAATCACTACAGAGGGGGCCCTAGTGTCCAGGCTGTTTCCCACTGACATAACCAAGATAAAGACACCTGTGGGTTGGAGAGGTGTGCTGGCATGTCAGACCAATGCAGACCAAGGCATCTGGTCTTTAGTTTATGAAAGGGGAGATCATTTTTTAAAAGCCTGGACAAAAAGTAACAATTTACTAACATATTCCCTTGAAAAAAAAATTGTTAGGATCTTGCAGTGATACTAAACAATCACATAGTTCAGAAAAATGTGTTGAGAATATATTATAAACAATATCTGAAAGTTGTGATTAAATATTCTGAAACAGCATCTAATTATAATGCCCTAATTTGTGAGATGAATAAGTAAATAACACTAATTGCATGCAATGAGGAGAAAAGCAGTATAAATAAATGTTAAAAACTCATGAGTAGAGTGCTTTTTCCTTTATATTTTTAATATAAGTGTACATGTATTTATAATAGTGTATACAATGAGGCTAACTTATCACACTTCTAAGCAAGCAAAATTTGAGCTAATGAAGTTGTAATGTACTCCTGACCTTCACTGAGAACCTGTTGCCTGTATGGAATTTAAATGCAAAAGGGCAGACAACGTGTTTATTCAGTTATGTGTCTATTATTATGAATGGAGCAATAAGGGGTCACTTTTCCTTACTCTTGTTACTGAGAAGAAACACAAAAGGTTATGACAAACTCATTGTATATTTTCATTTGAAGCTGTTCTATTGTACAAAGGTTATACTTAGCATGTGGGATGGTGGAGGAGTGGTGTTGCATAACTTTTCAAGTAATAAGTTCAGGATTGACCTGTAATTCTTCTACAACAAAGATATTAAGCAATTCTGAGAAAATCAACATTTTAGACATGAAGCCAGGGTTGGATAGGTGGGGGAGAGAGGAAAACAGTCTTCTTATTAAAAACTGTCACATTGAAGCCTTGGTATAAAGTCATTAATATTTCCTCCTCTCTTTTTTTCTGAACCATGGAAGGGAAAGGCAAGAGAAAAAAGGTTCTTTCTTAAAATGAGTTCTAGAGAAGTCAGTTCATAGAGTTAGGATCTAGAACTAAGATTTTTTTTCAATATCCACTCATGCTATAATTCTGATGAACTTATCAGAAGTGTGCCGTCTCCGCTACTAGTTATTTGTAGGTCCTTTCACTTCCTACACTTGTCTCAGGGCAAGTGGTAACCATGCCAACATTGGTTTCAGCTCCATTGCGGCATCGCTGACTTCAGATGGCATCCTTTGCTTTCCAGCCAGATGAAGGAAGCCCGAGGCCTTCTCTTTTTAATATAAGATATTACAGAAACCCAATCAAAAGATTATTGTGGGCTTCAAAACTTTCCAAATGTATGCCGTTTCACTGGTAGTTCTTTCTTTCAGCTACTGTAAACCTTGTTCTAGTGTTTAGGGAACTTTTACTTGGTACTTCATAGAAAGAGAGAAATATAGTGTCAGGATAAGAAGGACAACAAGAAAACATGATTAACCGGACTGGGGTGCTATTTCCTCGCCCTCTATTGGAATGCTCATGTATCCATTCATTCTTTAGTGGTTCTCTCTGTGTTCACACTACTGCAAGGCACAGCTGCGTTGTCAGGAGGCCTTGCTGGGCCATGGTGCTTCCTTACACGGGCGGTTCTGCCTTTTCTTTTTCATCTCTCATAACCAAAGGCCTCTTTGAATTCAGCTCTTAACCAATGACCTAAATTCTTAGTCAAATTGGCCTTCCTTCATCTATTTACTATTAATAAACAAATAGATTCTTTAATTTTCTCTATTGGGCCTTTTCACATATCCTTTCTTGCCCTTCATAATTAGAGTTAATTATCATAATCTTTTAACAGATTAATCAAATGTGTGCTTTCAACTTTCTTTTTTTTTAACATGTGCCCCTCGTAATGATTTCATTCTGGAATCTGAAAATACATTGCTCCTTTCTTTTAAATGGTTAGAAGTAGAACTTCTCAATTTATAACTTTTCCCCCAAAGGTGAGAAAATAACCCAAGTTCCCTGGAAATTATTCCAGTGAACTTCATCACAGACTAAATCAAAATAATTCATTAATCTTGTTTTTAGGGGGTTTGGGCATATTTTAAAAATACTGGTACCTAAGACATACAACATGCAATTCACTCAGAAAACAGTATCACTTGCCTTTTAGGATGATTAATAGTTAACCAAGAAGAGCATGAAATCAGTTCTCAGACCAGCTGTCACCACTGAGCGGTAAACAGTTTGTCATTAATGTAGTCCGAGTCTCCACAAAAATAATTCCTGTTGTCCATACTTCCCTTGGTTTTTATTCTATTTTAAGAGTTCTTATCCAGGAATGAACAGAAGAATTTGAGTCTCACTCAGGATAGTGTTTCTTAGATGGTTTTCTTAGATTCCATATTTGGACTTAATTTTCAGGCTCATTCAATCAGCCTGGCTAGCTTCCCTCATACTGACCTTATAACTGAATGAACAAATAGCCTTGTTTCTGGGACACCAAACTTTTTATTTGAGTTTCTTCTTTCTTCCTTCTTTGACTTATATTCACCAATTCTGCTTTCTTCCTTTCCAATTCCTTCCTTTGTGGCACATAGCCTATATTGTTTAAACTGTAAGCTCCACGAAGGTAGAGGCCATGTCTACCTCCTTCCTTACTCTACCTGCATTGCCTACATATCTAATAAATAATGATTAGATAAGTAGTAAAGTTGGAATATTAAACCTACAATAAAATTAATACATATGCCTACAGTGACCAAAGTGTTCTGAATCCCATAATATGTCACATTTCTAATTGCAGTTTACTTAAATGAAAAGTCTTTTCCAGGCAAAATATTTATTGTATTTAATAATACACTAATAAAAGTATCTTTTTGCTTAACAAATAGATTATGTGGCAACAGAATTAAAGAAAATGTGGTTCAGATAAGATAGATCCAGATTTTAAGTGAAATGGATCACATTTAATTTGAATGAAAACTGAATTCCCTGCTTGATAAGTATTTTCCTCTCTTTCTCAAATATTTCAAGAGATAACAGGACTCTTAGGCTGAGTCATTTTGCAACACATGGTCAATTTTTCTCACTTTAGCTGATTTAGTGCCTTAATCCTTTCCCTTTGGTTTACAAGTGAGGGCCAACTTCTTATTCACTCTGCCCAAAAGCTGTTGTTCTCTTTGAATGGCTAGAGAATTTAGGAGTCCATTTTCAACCTTCAGATCATATAACTGTCAAATCCCAGACTATTGGCAAAAGTTTTATTTCTAAAAAAGTAAATGTTAAAAGGAACCTGGTTAACTTAGCTTTCCTAATATAATTACCACTCATTGTTTAAATTCATTAAGTAACTAAATTACTTTACTTGTACACTGAAATATATAAGCACAATATCTGTTACATTTGCAGTCATTATCATGTTCTCTCTTCCCCTATATGAGAAAGCACACTACTTCTGAGGCACCGCTGACCTCCCCCCATCCCACTGAGTGGGGGGGAAACTTGATAGTCCAATTAGAGATGTCCCAGTTTCTGCCAAGTTGGAAAAGTCTTTTTTGCTCGTTTGTTTTTTAGCTCTGTACTTTTGGATACATATTCAATCAAATTGAACATGCAAACTTCTTACCAGAACTGTTGTTTCCTTTCAACGATCTCTCTCTCCTTTTCCCTTCCTCGCTGTGGTTTCTGGGTATAGATGAAAGTTCAATAAACTGTATACCATTGAGTAAAGGGGTTCATGGTCTATATGTGGGTAGTTGTTCTGGATCCTTGGAGGCCCCTAATGATGTGCCTCTTGTCCTCTTCGGCCACTGGGCAACCTACTGGCACCTGCTCACCACCAGTGAGGAGCAAGTTATCCTCCCTGTTCCCTGGGTTTTAGCCTCTGCCCTTCCTGAACCTCTGAAGAAAAATGTATAATTAGCACAATTCTTTTTTCATTTTTGGTCTAATGCTGGGTCCCTTAGTTTCGCTGTGCTACCCTTCCACCTGGCCTCCACCCTGGCTCCCACTATTGCTCCAAACCCTGAATCTTAGACACATAATTCACCTAGCCCCTAGCTCAGGCTACCCAACCCACAGCTTCTGGCATTTTGAAGAATTTCCTTCTCTTTCAACAAAACTCAGCTTTCTAGACTGTTGCTTCACTGCAGTCCAAATATGTGGGCATCTTTGGGGCCCTAAGCAACTCTTCTTGGTTTCAGATCCCATCAGTCCTTCCCCTAAAAACTGACACTCATTGATTAAATAGAAAATTGTAATTTCAGGGTAAAGAAAGAAAACTTGGTTGAAACCAGAAAATATGACAGCAACTAAGAAAAATCAGGATAGAATACTTTAGAAAATATTTTAGAACATAACATTGATCTAGCGATAAAGCAAGACACACTGGAGACCCAGAGAGGTAAACAGAGTGCTGACGCTGGATTTTATCTGGAGGGAATTTTCCAAACTCCAGTGAACTTCCGCTTCCATGGTCTCGCAGGGGGAGGGCACAGGAGAGGATTTCCAGGGCGCGTGAAGGGTGGAAAGTCTAACAGGAGACACTCATGCATATTATGGTGAAACTAAGTATCGAAGAAAAGGGAAGGTTTTAAAAGCTGTCGGGAATAATATTTAGAGTGATAGCTGACTCCTCAATAACAACAAAGGGAGGTAGAAGTCAGTGGTGATATCTTCAGTTTGCTAAGTGGAGAAATCTTTCATGGATGAGGGCAAAATAAAGACATTTTCAGATAAGTAGAAACAAAGTTTGCTACAGTAACTAAAAGAAGGATATGCTAAGTAAAAGGAAAGTAACCAAGGTTGGAAGGACTAAGATGTAAGAGGAATTTATAAGGAGAAAGAAAGAACTTTGGGGTAAATCTAAGTAAATATTATCTGCATACAATAATGTTAATATCTTACAGAAAATTTTAAGAATATAAAATTAAAATACATGACAATAATAGCATATAAGTTATAAATCAAATCACTGATGTTAAAATATCATAATGTTCTCAATTATTTGAGAGAAAAGTAGATATATTTGTTAAGTTTAGATTTTGAACATTTATATATGCAAGTTAAAATGCTCATAGTAATAAAAATAAAGAATGGAAATAGATGATATAATTTCCAAACTAGTAGATGAGAAAAATATAAGAAGAAAACTCAATCAAAAAATAAGAATGGAGAAAAAATAACACAGAAAAAAAAACAGAACAAATAATAATCTAAATATATCCATCATTGCAATAAATAAAAAGGGTTGGCCCAGCTGGCGTGGCTCAGTGGTTGAGTGTCGACCTATGAACTAGGAGGTCATGGTTTGATTCCCAGACAGGGCACATACCTGGGTTTCAGGCTCAGGGGTGTGCAGGAAGCAGCCAATCAATGATTCTCTCTCATCATTGATGTTTCTAGCTCTCTCTCCCTCTCCCTGCCTCTCTCAAATCAATAAAAATATTTAATAATAATAATAATAATAATAATAACCAAGTCCTTATGTAGAGATAAAGACTGTCAGGTCATTTAAAAAAAGAAGTATATGCTGATTATTAGAGACTCCCTAAATATAAAAATATACAAATAAGATATACTAGGCAAATAAAAAAACTGAAATATTTCTATTAGTATTAGAAAACTGAGACTTTCACTAGGGCTTAAGAGAGTTTACCTGATGATAAAATAGCAATTCTCCATAGAGATACAATATTTCTGAACATGTGTGTTTCTAAGAACTAAATATCAGAATATATAAAGTAAAATTTAACAGAATACAAGAAAAAATAGATACATTCATCTCCATAATGGGCAATTTAAATGCAAATTACCAATTAATAGAACAACAGAATGAATTGATCTTTTGCACCAAACAACTATGAATTCGAAAACTTGCATGGAAATTGTTATAACATTGACTGGGCCCTAAAACTTAAGTCTCAACAAACACATCTTCTACTACAATACAACCTCGTTAAGTTGGCCGCTGGGAAGGACTGGCCACATGTAGGTAAGCTTATTCCAGAGAGGATTTTCGACTCTGGAATGTTTCCACTGGCCTGGCTTACTGGTCCCCGCATGTTTTATGGCCCACCTAAAACAAAATAAAAGACAAGAGTTATATAGCAAGGTTACCAACTATAACTTCAAAATATTTATTGAGGACTATTATGAAATAGGTGAACAATTAAAGACCCAAATCTGAGACTGTACAAGAGACACAAATAAAAGTAATCCTATCTAATAATAGAGAAACATGGTAATTAACCGTAATTTTGCTACCCTTCCCATTGGCTAATCAGCGAGATATGCAAATTAACTGCCAACAAAGATGGCGGCCGGCAGCCAGGCAGCTGAAGCGAACATGAGGCTTGCTTGCTCCAGTGACGGAGGAAGCCAAGGTTCCCTGCCAGCCGCAGCCCAGCTCTGAGCTCCAGATGCAACAATG